GGCGTCCTGACAGGTTAAGCACTATCATTGGGCTCTTATAGCAAGTGAAGGGTGGGGCAGGCTTGCTGCTCCATCCAAGGATTTCATTGTATGTAGTCACGTGATGGATCTTGGGATCTTGAGGATCCCAGGATCCAGACAAGGGATCTGGGGGATCCTCAGATCCACATGGGAACGAAGGTTCTATATAAGATGGCATGTCTGCCATTAGATAGGAGCTTCGTGCTCAACTTAGTTTACTTAGTTATCAATACCTTTTGACTTTGACGACTTTGTACAAGTGACGAGTTTACCTCCGAGTAAACAACCCGGCGCATCTGATCTTCTTATCTGCATACCAACCTTCGGAACGATTACTTTTGTTAGATAGTTTGAGTTTCGTCACATAAAGTTAGCGTTAGTTAGCGTATTACTAGTATATAAGAAAGTTAAGATAGAGGATATTAAGATAGCGTTATCTTTAGGACCGGGTAGATTATTATTCGCTAGGTCTTCTTCGTAGGATTCCTATATATTAAGGAATAGACTATAATTATAAGAGTATTAGGGATAGCCTTAATTTAGGATTATCGTTGTTTACTAGACGAGGTATAGGCGTCGCCGAAGGGGCTCTACTACGTAGGAATCAGTTAATACCTAGGAAGGTTCTATTATTAGGGCTAGGTATATTAATAGAGGCTTATTTAATTAAGTATTTAATAGATTGTTTAAAGGATTTAAAGGTAGAATATTTAAAGGATTCAAAAATAGAATATTGAATAGATTTAATAGATTTAAAAAGGTAGAATTAAGTAAGGTATTTAAGTAATAACGCTAAATTCCCGAGAAATACTAACCCTGTGACGGTTATGGTCACGAGGGCTGGATGTCACATGCTCGCTTAGCGAGGCGCTAGCGCGCACGACCTGTATTTAGTTCCCAGCTCTCTCGAGCTCTCCTTCTTTCCTCGTCTTTGGTCCTAAGAATAGAGTGTTAATTGTTCTGAGTTCTACCTGAAGCACGTCTGTCACAAACCCTTTAGTACGCTGATAGATGCTAAACTTTCAATAGAGGTATAGGCAAGGTTTAGGTTACTTCTAGAGTAATACTAAGACCTTATTTCTACTATATTTTAGACCTATTACTTAGACCTACTAAAACCTATAATACCTAGACTTAGAAGTACTTCTAACCCTTCCTTTCCGGTGCCCTAGCGAGGATAAGGAGTATTAATTAGTCCGGATAGGAATAGGAAGGAGAGCTCGCTGATTTATATAGATTAGAATAGAAAGGAGTATAGATAGGAGTAGCGGGGAGTACTATAGAGGGGAGATTCTAAACACTAGTCGTTTATAATAGGTATAATTAGGTCGTAGTACTCACGGTTACTTTTCGTTTTGTGACGGTTCTTACCGCCACCATGCCTCAAACCAGCCCCTGGCTGGCACCCGGCGTGCCCCGTGCTTCCCGAGCCCGGCTCGGTTAGCTATGGCTTGGCACACCTCCGGTATATAGGAGCTTCCAGCTCCTGGGATTCTGTCCTTTCTTTCTCTTCTCTCTTCAGCTTAGAATCCTCGAATAGACAGTTCCACAGTGCCCAACTTACACCAGGCGTAGTCGTGCATTCGTGCGCGGTCCATCAGCTGTGCGTGTCGTCACAATAAGTAAAGTTATTAATTATAGGTTAAAGGAATCATCTTTAACCTAATATAATCAAGGTAACGTAGTATTTACGAATGTAGATAATATTAGATAGGTAAATAGCTAGGACGTAAAAAGGCAAAGGTAATTAGAGTACTCCTAAAGAGCTTTTAGCGAATATATAAAACAATCTAGGAATAGCCTTATTTTTTTAACCTTATTTTATCTTTCCTTCTTACTCCTCTCCCCGAATCCTACCTCTCCTTCCTACTCCTCTCTAGACATATACTCCTTCCTTCTCCTAGCCAAGTAGTATGGTTCTCCTGCTCCTATCTAAGGCTCCGGAGAGGAAAGGAGGGGAGATACCAAACACTATAAACGACAACGAACGTGAGGATCAAGTACGAGAGTAAGTGAATAATGACACTGACCATCAAATTGCTCCCAGAGACCCAGAACGAACTAGGTGGTAGTGGAGTAGGCAGAATTCACCAGAGACTCTTTCCAAGTCCTACGAATCTCACTTCAAGATGGCCTTGAAAACTATTGGCCTTCGATAGATTTCAGTCACAGTGCCAAATCTTTGAATGGATTGCGGATGGAAAGTAGTGTGAGGGTTTCAATTAGCTGCTGGTGTTATGCTATCTACCTCGATAGCGAACCATGAAACGGCTCCAAGTACCTCTGATATTCAAATCCATTCTTCCTCACGGTAAGCATCATGAGATATTACCACATCTAGTCAAGAAGTCTTCTTTGAGATCTCAGAAGCCAAGATCGGTTTATGGGCGCAGTGAGAGCCGGAGAGGGAAGAACGAAGTGTCTTGATAGCAGCTCAAATCCATGTCTTCAGGATCCAGAAGTCTCGAAATTGACAATGCTGTAATTGGATTCTGGCGAACCGACACCTTGATAGCGAGGGAATCATACACAATTCACACATTCCTAGTAGTGATTGATAGAAGAACCACTACTGTACTGATTTTGAGCAAACTATGTATATGCACCTACCGAGACCAAAACTCTCACGAGACGGCCTGGAAAGATATACTCAGTATCGTTGTCATCATCCTACATCCAGTGCTACAGTAGTAGCACAGTACACAATTAGTAACTCCTTCCATAAATAAAAAGCCAAGAGGCAAAACCATGGTGTGGTTTATCCTGTCCTTGAACGCCATCGCTGAATTCCAAATATGTTTGCTCGCAAGATTCATGCGGTGAACGAGGAAATGTAGTACTGCAAATCAAAGGTCAGACATAGGGGATACGAAAGAGGGAGATTAAGACTTACGGTCAAAACAGAATCTTCCTCGTCATCGAAGTTTTGGAGGTATACGTAGAGAATTAATGCGTGTTCATTTACGAAGCCTAAGGGATTAGACGTGAGTAAAAACGCACAGGCCGTAATTGAATGCAGAAAGAGAGAAGGGAAGGAGAGAAAAGAGGCAGAATCTTACAAGCAATAACTCGTCCCCCAAGTCTGCCAACACTCAACACCCGTCCCCAATCCCTCCCATCAATCCTAACCGTCGCCCAAGCATCCGGACCCTGTGCCTTTAAACGAATATCAGGACGAATCTCAGCCTCACCGTCCTCTCCCGGATCAGGAGCGATCTCCGGATTCGTTAGGCCGGTCCAGACACTACTTATATTGAGTGTATCGGTAGAGATACTCAATTTGAGACTCCCATGCATGTTCGCAGAAAGTTCCAACTTGGGAGCAACCGTATTCACACCACCGCCCCTCACAACACCAGAGTTCGTAGCAAGAGACAGTTTTGTGAAGCGATCTGAAATGGCTTTCAGTTGGAGCAGAGAGGGCAGTATGATATTCGCGTCTGGTTCTCGGACTCGAGGCTCGTGGATGCCTTCTACACTCACAGCGGTAAGGACTCGCACGGGGATATCTTGAGTTACTACTGCTTCTCTGTCTCTTCCGGCATCTAGGGCTTCTTCGCGGAATGCATGGTCGCCGAAGGGGTCTTGGGTTCCCGATTGATTCAAGTTTAGGAAGCCGCTGGCGCTGTTTCCGCTGCTGATTGTGTTTGTGATTATGGTGAGGGAGAGGACGGGGATTCCATCGCGTTTTGTGAGGCGGATGGAGGCGGATGTTGCGTTGAGGGCGGATTTGAGGGCGCGGTGGAGGGGCGCGAGAGGTAGTTCGAGGTTGATTGTGTTGGAGGAGGCGTTGGATTGGATATGGTAGTCTTCGAAGATGGAGAGTATGGAAAAGGAGCTTGAGGAATCAGCGGGTGGAAGGCAGAGATGGTGGTAATGATACTATACTCACGCCCAAACTTGTGTTCCTGTCTCGGGAATTATGGTGAATCGCACATTGGTGTCATCCAACCTGACCCATGCGACTTTGCCCAGGGAGGAAAGAGACGCGGTGAGCTCTGTGTGATAGTATTTAGAATCAGAATTCTGGAGTTGAGGCCATCGAAAAATTTGTGTAGGTGATGCTTACTCGAGAAGGTCTGGATATTCCGGACGGAAGTCTTGAAGCGCATCTTGAACGTATATCAGAGGATTTGGTTGCAATGGGAGCTGACCTGGGAGACGCGTTTTGTGGCAGCCAAGACGTGGGACGTGGGACGTGGGACGTGGTTCCCCGCGATTTGGAGAGGAGGGGCCAAGATCTACAGTAAAGTCAATTTGGACGACACCTCAACTTTGATGCTATCTACAGTCTCAATTCTGACGACTCAAACTACGTACTCAGTCACTTAAATTATTTGCAAGAAAGGTCGGAGCCCTGTATTGAATACCAATCTATTGACTATTGATACTGCATCTAGTTGAATCAGGCTCAATTACGCCCGAAAGATCGCGACAAAGCAACGCAAAGCAACGCAAAGCAAAGCAAAAAACAACAACTTGTGTCCTCCCCAACTTCATAAATGACACTTCTGGGGAAAAATGAAACAAACGAAAAGGATGTTGCTCTTCGAGTCTTCTAGTCTTTGAAACCGAATGTACCTAATAGTATTGGAAAGAAAATGACTCCAGAATCATCTTAAACGAAAAACTTCCATGGCAAAAAAACTGCATCAATGCCACCACCTTGAGGACTATATCCCCATATTACACATGATGTGGAAAGAAAAAACCCACGAAAAAAGAAAAGAGGAAAGAACAGAAGATGTAGCCATCCGGCTGCTGGGTATCTTGAGAAAAGAACACAAACGCCATCAAGAAATGCCAGTAAACCAGCGAAAAACACCGCCCAGGCAAGGAACCACAAGGCAAAAGCGCAAAAGCCACGATGGAAAGAATAATCAAGGCCGAAAAAAAAATCAGACCACTTTCCTATCGGCAAACACGAACTCCAATTGATGTGCTCACCACCAGTGTCTTTGACCCCGACCAGAGGCAGTACGAGATCCAGGGCGGTTTCCACCAAGATTTCCAGAAGGACGACCGGAGGAAGAGCCAGGAGCACCGCCCGAAAGACCACTGGCAGACGAACCACTTCCGTGTCTCTCATTTCGTGAAGCCTGAGAAAAGAAACTTCCACTAGGCGAAAGAACTCGAGTCGATGTACGAGAGCCAGATTCATACAAACGACGGCCACGTAGACTTCCTGTGGTTCCTGGCGATGGCTCTCTGGATGGCACAGCCGACTGATTGTATGTTGGCCCCCAAATTTGCGTATCTGCAGTCAGTGGAGGTTCTTGCGCAGCATCTTGTCCAAACCGAGAAGAAGGTGCGAGGAGTCCAGTCGGCGTAGCACGAAACTCCAAACTGCTTGGTGATCTGTGAATTGTTGGTGCCAACCAACCAGAGTCCGTAGAACTGGGCCGCTCGATGAGTTCCGGGAGGCGGTTCTGCATCACCACCCCAGATGGCTGCATGTTGGGAGTAGGAGGCTGGAACGTCATGCGCGGGTATCCTTCATGCGCGTACACATGATTGGCGGTTTCGATATATTGCTGGACCCGAAGAATATCGTCATCTCGAAGGGTCATACTGGATCGCACGCGTCTCATTTGTCGGCGGCTGTTCATAGGCTCAAAGCCTGGAGGCGGGCGAAGCGAAGCTTGTGTAGAAGGAAGAGCGCTATCTACACTTTGCTCAGCACCATTCATTACATATCCCGCATAACCTTGGTACGTGGGACCGGAGAGGGATTGCATGTAATTGGGTTGTTGATAAGGCTGGCCCGTACCATGAATTCCGCCGCCTTGCGATTGTAGGTATGCCCCCAATCCAATAAATGGGCCTCTGCCCGCCTTATACTCGTCCAGCTCATCGGCGAGCCTTCTCTCGAATTGACGCTGTGCCGGGGTTTTCCCGTCATCCTCAGCCCCTTCGCTTAAGTGTTCGCGCTCGGCAGCACGACGGTTTGCTCGACGGGAGCGGGAGTTGTCTGGGCGCTGGTAGTATCGAGGCGCGGGAGGACCACCAGAAGGTGGGTTGGGAACATATGGGACGAACCGAGGAATAGCGTCGAGGGGTGGGCGTCCGGTCGCACCATATCTGGTATCAGCATGGTTCTCATCCTTCTTTGCCTTGCTGTAAACCGAGACCATGTCCGTCAGGGTAGCGTATTTCTGGTGAAATAAATGTTAGCAAATATCCGAACCCCACCAAAGTATAAGAGTCAAGTGACGGATCTTTGAAAAAGGAAGGAAAGGGGAATGCACATACTGAGGAAACTTGCTTGTAGGTAACACCCGAAAGAGTTACTTCCGTTACGAGATTGGCCGGGGCAGGGGTGGAGCGGAAGTTTGAAAAGGCATTATCGCCTTCTTCAGAGTCATGGTATCGATCTCTCACGGTCTTGACTTCATGGATTGCTTTATCAATTTGTGCGACTTGGTCGACGAATGGGTGCACATCCAAATCCCACTCATCAACTCTATCCTATGAGATTGTTAGCTAATTCAACGAGAAGTTTCTCGTTTCGCTTACCATGGGGCCAAATGTCAAACATGTGCCGTTATCAAACGCCAGGATCTTCTGCTCGTCCCTAGGACCTACGCGATTATACAACTGGGACCATGAATCAGTATTCTTTTGGTGCTTGTTTGGATTGGAAAAGGGGTGGAATTACTTGGGCTGCGCCTTCCGAGGGAGTTGGGGGGCGTCCTGGTACCTTCAGACCCCACTGGTTCTGCTCATCCGAGCCCGAGACTCGGTCCAATTGCTGGGGTGGGGGAGCCATTCTCTCTTGCGCTCTGTATCGGTGGTTAGCTGGGCGTCTCATCGCGACGAGTGTCGGGAGAGTTCGCTTGATGTTACGATGGGCTGTGATGCTTGGGGGTTGATGAAGGGGTACTGTGGTTGCAAGAGTTGCGAGCTGGACAGTTGGGAGATGATGGAGGGGAAGGCAAAAGAGTTTGATTGCGCAAGGTCAGGTGTACCGTCAGCAGCGAGGGTGACAATCTCCCGAGCAGATTGTGGACGTGGTGAATGAGATGATTGCTAGGTCAATAAGGTGCTCAAGGTGGAAGTGATTTGAGGGAGCTCTCACTGAGAGATGGTGTTGTTGATCAAGGCACAGAAGCCCCAAGTCAACTCCCAAATCCACTTCGCGATCCTCAAGTCGAAGGATCAAGGAGAGATGCGCGATATCAACAGCTTCCAGATCAAGCGAGAGACTTCTCTTATTGCGCTGTGCTGTATCATATCAAAGAAGAAAGGAACAATCGTGGACTTACTCTACTGCAGAACGCAAAGGCACAGGGCAGTACAGGGCAAGGCAGGTTGTGGTGGTCGGTGGTGGTGGTGTAAGAAAGAAGAAGGAAAAGAAGGAAGGGAGGTGGTCGGTGGACAAGATATAAATTTTATTCTGCCAGTTTGTGGGTAGCTGAGCGGTGAAATAAGACTATTGACTGCACTGTTTGGGAGTGGGATGTGGAGCAGGGATCCTTGTTTACAGTTGGTTAGGGCTTCATGTTTTGAAGGCGGTGACTATCAGGGTTGCAGGTTTTTGGTTGTTGGTAGGTGGTTTGGAGAAGTTTGTAGCGAAGCCGGAAATTAGATCAAAGGAAAGAGATAGCATAACAACAGAGAACAGAGGTGTGGGAAACAAGTATTTGAATTCATTGAATTGATGAAATGTACAGAAAAATAATATCTATTAATAGACAAGCGTTTTATTCACTCTCTATTATAGGAACTTAGCGAAATTTGCAAAGGGTAATCACTGGAATTCATAGGGATTCATTGAGCCAATGTAGACTTAGGACAAAGTGACCGTGGTCTTATTTACAGGTTTTGTAAGATTTAGGGGGAATTGGGACTTGTTTTTACTTGTTTTTCCTGTAGATAGTCAATTCTGTCTATACCTCTGCGTAATTTAGGTAGAATTCAGACATTTCTCACTTGTTTTGTCAACACACATAGGAATTCAGAGGTTTTGATTCATTGTTTTAATGAACACCCTTTTCTCTTGCTAAACATAGAATGAAATGAACATCTGATGAATATCTGATGAACTTCTGGTGAAGTTTTAGTGAATATCTAGTAAATATTTAGTGAATCTTATATGTATATTCACTAGTATTACAAATTCACTGGCTTAATAATATTCCCCTTATTTATTAATATAATTTAATTCTTTTTTTGAGTATAAGATAATAACTTAATTATATGTTTTTCTATAAAGTTACCTTTATTAGTATAATATAAAGTTTAGAAAGTGTTTTTTTAAATTAATAATTTAATTTAACGTTAATTATTTCTACTACTTACGCGAAACGTCTTTTTAAAGAGATAAACTTTAATATTTGGTATTTACGTAAGATTTATAAAGAAACCACGCTTCTCTATTTAAGGTAGATAATATAGAGTTATGTAAAGGGCTCTAGAGAGAAGGAAAGATACTCTAGATAAAAGAATAGCGAGAATTACTCTAGTAAAGTTTTTCAGTCTACCTTTCTTAGAAAATAAAAATAGTAAAAAAGTACTAGAATAACTTCTAAATTACGTTTTTAAGTAAGTTACTATTTAGAAACTAACTTGTTTCTTATATATAGAACAATCTAGTATAATACTCTCGTCTCGATGTAGATTTTTCCCTCGTTCCTTAGATCCCCAAAAGAGACTCTAGAATCCTTGGTACGGGCTAGAACGTCAAACTCGACTTCTTGCTATATTAGTCAAGGCGTGGGAGTTCTTGCTATATTAGGAAAGGAAAAGTGGGTTGGTGGGAACACTAAAACATGAACTCGTTAGTACGTAGAGTGCTCTTTGAGCCTACGTAGCAGTACTCCCACCGGTCGGAAACGTATATTTTTCGAGGATAGGACAGTACTTAATTAACCCTACAAATCAGTCTTATTTATATGTTGTTATAACATATACGTATACGGCTACGTAGGTGTAAAGAGCCGTATATATACAGGTGAGGCTTAAGTGCGTATACGGCTCTCGGTGCCGGCTCCCTGTTGTCACGAATCACGTGCTCACGTGATACTTGTCATAATAAGAGGCGCAACCCTCGGCAGGCACACCCAGGTTTCTTATAGCAGAAAGAGATCCTTAGACCAGCTAAGCGATCCAGGGATTTTCATTGATTGGAAAGGTCACGTGACCTGGATCTTTTGGATCGTAATGATCCACGATCCAGGAGCGTAGATCTGCATGATCCAGTACGATCCACGAACATGGAAGGATCTATATAAGACTGGCACGTCTGCCATTAGATAGGAGCTTCGTGCTCAACTTAGTTATC